GAAAGGAAAAGCCCATCGGTTGAATGGCTTGGAAGTAAGTGGACTGGACCCACGATTACTTCAAAGAATTGCCTGAAACTTTCATAAGTTCGATTCTGGTCAGCCAGGAGAATATACCAACCAAAGAGGACATAAAGAAATGGCCGTATCTGAAAGACTGTGTTCCAGAAAAGATGTTGATTGGGATCAATGTCCCAAAAGCGATGTGGATTATTAACAGCCAGGAGGATGGTCCTTATGCTGTCCAAATGTGTTGGTTAATGGTCCACTAACTCATCCACAGATGTTCAGGGACCATTTGTGTCTTCTAACAGAACTTGAGTGTCTAAACTGTTCCTCAAGGACCAGTACAATAATGACTTTTCAGAGCAAGCATACAATAAGAAACCCTAATTTTCTTTTGAGGACCAGAGATTCCTGGAAATTGTGAACGACTGTGTTGTGAAACGAGATGGTCATTAGCAAATATGCCTTCTATTTCACAAACCCGACCTCACCCTGCCTGATAACAAGACGACTGCAGAACAACGAGCCCTGAGATTTGGGAAGGATGAAGCATTCATGTCAAGTCATCTTTATTTATATAGCGCTTTTTACAATACAGATAATTTCAAAGCAGCTTTACTGAGATAACAGCAAAATAATGCAACAAAGTTTGCTCCACAGTGGTCTCAAACTCGCGGCCCACGGGCCGGGTGATATTTTGTGGCCCCCGACTTGACATTAAAGTTTAATGTTAGTGCGGCCCGTCGTTGCGTGTGCCGCGTTTTAATTTTTTTGATATCCCTTATGGGCTATCATAGATAGTCTCGTGACAGCTTACGGTGGGTTTGTTGTCAATAGTTGTCATAGACAACCGCGAAGTACAAACATACTGCGCCTGGAAAAAATGAGCGCGTCGCTTCAATTATGAGCGTGCTTACCGCGCGCCTACATTTGAAATAACGAACTTGAGCGCGCAAAATATGTGAGCGCGATATGTGAACGGCCCCTTGGCGAGCTACCACCAATCAGGCCAGAGCTACTGGTAGCTCGCGAGCGACGTGTTGGAGACCCTTGCTCTAAAACAATGTGAGAATAATCACTTTGAGCTTGTAATATGTGTCCAACAGGTTGATAAGAAGGTTTGCTCTGATTTGTGCAGTCAGTAATTTGAGACACTATACATGTGTAGAAAGAATTCAATAAGACGGGCAGACATGACTGCAAATATTTGCATTTCAAAAGCAATAATTGTTTTTCTAAGTATAATAAAAGGAAATGTGCCTTCCAAAAAAAACATTCAAAAATCATTAATGTGTTGTATAAAGAACATAAAAAGGACATAAGCAAATATAAATATCACAAATATGTGTTATAGACAAAGAAAGTTTGTAAAATGAACTTCAACTGTCAGAAGGACAGCTCATGAAGAACCAATCATGTACAGAAAGGAATGTTCAAATTAAGAGGAACAGTTCAGAAGAAACGTTAATAATAAAGATTGAGAAGATTGGATCAGTTGTGCTCCTTTTTTGTAATACTTGAATACTATTTTTTTTTTTGTGGAATACTTGATGCGGCCCAGCCTGACCCCGACTCTACCTCCAGCGGCCCCCAGTTAAGTTGAGTTTGAGACCCCTGTTCTAGAAGAAAATGGCATCATAGTCCAGCTTAAGTAAGTTCAGTACAGAAGCCCTGAACCGCAACGTAAAAAACCCCCAAAACCTAGCATTTCGAGATTTCAGTCAAAACATTACGATAATACAGTCTTCCAGAAGTGTGTGCATTCATAACAGTGCGTGTCCACTGGCTCAGAGTGTGTGTGTGTGTGTGTGTGTGTGTAAAGAAATGCACTTGTGAAGTCGAACTGCCATGGATCAACACAAAATAGTAGCTTTTTACTTGTATCTGGGCTTTCAACTAAATTCTACACAGGTGCTAATCTACCAACAAGAATTAGCATGGCGTTATAGACGAGCGCACAGACTCCGCCGGAGTATCACAATCTGGTCCACACTTTATGTGGCAGTGTTTTTGAGGTGTTTTCGTGCTCGTCTATCTGGGTCGAGAACACAACAGTAACCTTCTGTCTCCCTCTTCACCGTAAATACCTTCTGGATACATTTTAAGTGCATCATTCTGTATCCAATCATTTGGCCGGATCCCGTGATTTCCTCAGATTTAATAACCACTAATGGTGGTTGAGGAGAGATTCTCTGATATGATTGTAAAGCGCTTTGAGTGTAGGCCTAGTAGACATATGAAAGCGCTATATAAATGCCTCATTCATTCATTCATTCATAAAGCTGGATATCTCCATCCAGTCTGAAAAGTGTTTTCCGGGTTGGTTTTCCTATAGGCTAAAGTCTATTCCGGCGCAGTATATTTTATAACCTCCTATAATGGTAGCCTAATGCTGGTAGATTGGCACCTGTTGAATTTCACACAAAACACACACACAGTGTGAAACACTCGCTATGCACCTTTATGAATGCCTGTGTGTGCGGCAATGTGAAACAATGGCAAGCACACACGCAACTTCTACGGAAGACTGTATTCCCGTACTCTCGAAATGTTTAGACTTTAATCTCGAAATGCTAGATTTTTTTTTTTATGTTGCGGTTCAGGGCTTCCGTAGTTCAGTGATGGTTCATTTTTGAAAAAAAGTTATTAATTTAGTTCATATATATATATATATATATATATATATATATATATATATATATATATATATATATATATATATATATGATGTATAGCCGCTGTGGAGAAAACGGTGATGTCATCGTCCAGTTCAGTTCTCATATTATGGTGTCAATGCAGGCAGATCAATTTTATTGTTGAATATTAAATATCCCAAACTAAGCAAGTCAAAAGCCAAAGGCGACAGTGGCAAGAAACCAAACCTCCATCAGTGACAGAATGGAGAAAAAAACCTTGGGAGAACCCAGTCTCAGTCGCTCAGTTCTCCTCTGGCCAACGAGCGAACAGTGTGTGATTATGATTCAGGCAGCATTACAGGTCAGAGGTCAGATTGGATCAGAACCGTTATCCAGTTCCATCTGGGTGAAGACCGGATTCATCACGCCGGTATGAAGACGGGTTTGTTGAGGATGGCTATCAGATTACAGAGACTTTATTGGCGACATCTGAAAGAAGGGTCATGCAGGGCAAGCACCAGAAGAGGAGCTCGACAGAGATGACGGCATAAAAGGAAAAGGAAAATCAGTGCTATTTGATTGTGTCGCCTCATTCCAAGGTACTTCATTGAATTCAGATTTGTTGCAGGGTCCAGATCTCACAAATACCCAATCCTCTGGTTAACCAAGTCAAGGATCCCCTTGATTTTTTGTGTTGGCGTAATGGTGATATCAGTCCGCCGCTGGAAGAGTTCAGGATGAATGTTCATCTCTTTGGAGCCGTTTCTTCCCCCAACTCCTCAAGCATACAATGAGAAACCCGAATTTTCTTTTGAGGACCAGAGATTCCTGGAAATTGTGAACGACTGTGTTGTTAAACGAGATGGGGCTTAGCAAATATGCCTTCCATTCGCCACAGAATTATTGGCCTTTAGCTTGAATTTTGGAGACATTCCCGGACAGCAAAAGTCACGGCGAGTTAAAGCGAGGACAAAGAACAATATTCTGGAGAGACCCATTAGCAAATTATGCTTCCTAAGAGACATGTCATGAGAATATGAAGAAACTGGGCATGTGATCATAAGACTCTGACACTTTGGCCAACTTTTGAAAGAATTATGGCTCCTTTTTGAATGAATTATTAGAAATGTCACAAGTTGACAATTAGGGGCGGGAATTGTTGGAGCCAATTTCATATTTGGACTCAATGGACTGACTTAATAATTTGAATATAATCAAGTTTAAGTTTGATAATTATAATTTGTGAGTATTTGCACTGAATGTTATGAATTTTCGAATGGAGACTTGTGGTTGTGTATTTCGATAAGGCAGGTAAGGAAGTGGGGGTGGAGTTCGGATATAATTTTGTTATACTTCATATTCGGATATAATTTTGCTGTTATGACCGTGTGTGTGCGTGTGTGTTATTATCTGCGAAGCTATGGCTCATGCTTTATTCACTTTAATTCTGCGAAAATGAACTATGCTACGGACACATGCGTCAATTGCTCTCCCCTATCCGGACAGCGGCTCATCATTACAAATGTGCCGCTATAACATATAAAGGCTAATGTTTTATGTATTTGAGGAGCAAAAAGTATTTTGCCTATGTTACAATATGAGGTAAATCCGGCCCTGGCGACAAGCCTTGCACTGTAAGTTGTTCGGCAATGTATACGGTTTACAATGTTTTTATTGCCGACTCTCGAGGATTTTTAGTTTTAGTTCAGGTAGAATATGCAATTTATGGCTTCCAATAACGCTGTGTTTTCCACCAACTGGCAACCCATGGTGTCGAAAATACTATTGGATGAATTGGCAGTGGGAGGGATCACACAGACCAAAACAAAAACAGACCAAAACAAAACACATTTCCAGCCAGAATGACTGGCTTTAGCATTGCTTTTTATAGCCTTAGCATGTTTCCTAATCCTTTCCAAACATTACTATGGTTTAATGTTGGGATTTAAAGGGTTTGTGTTCATTTTAGAGAGGTTACAGAGTCTAGGAGAGCTTTAGTCCAGGAGAAGTGATTTGTTTGAGTTCAAGAAACAAGTGATTTGTTTGAGTTCAGTGAGTTAAATCTAACAGTACTCAACTTGTAAAATCGGGGTACACTCAAGTAGTTACCTCTACTAAGAGGTAGTTTTATCAACTCAAAAATTATGAGCTAATTTACTTGCTAAATTTAAGGCAATCGGTTTCCACAAGTTTTCTAAGTAAACTCAACTAACTACATTTTACAGTGGCACAATGTTTTGCAAAATGATCAAATTCCCTGTGATTCATAATTTTCTCTAACGAACACCTGGAAGTTTTGAACAGTCTGAGAACATTCAATAATAACGTTTTAATAACTTATCGGGAACGTTAGCAAACCTGGTGACTGGAGCGCTGAGGTCAGATGTATTAAAAGAAGAATCATTATCCAGCTCATGGATTCAGACATCAAGAAGCCGCAGCAGATTTGATGTAAATCGACCTGTTTGATACATGAATGGAAAGAAAAATTACCTCCATCTGCTGGTGTAAAAGATCCATGAACACGTTTCTGAACCGTAGCTTACAGTAGATATCATTTACTGTAATTAAGTCATAAGTTTAGTTTGAACATAATCCAAAACATTATAGGCATATATTCAACCACAGATCTTTGTATATTTCTCTATTATTAGTATTCAGAGTTGATCATGAGTATTTACTCACCACAGGGTTTTTTAGGGTCTGATTTAGGGCAGTCCAGAGGATTTTAATGTTTCTGAAGACCTCTAATGAAACTGTTATGATGACAAACAGCAGCAAACCGCTTTAAAACACTCAATCACTATTTGTACAACATCGACCTTTAGACAGACGGTGTTTACACACACATGCACACACAAACTCGATTTAGTCAGTATAAACACTTTTGTGCAATAACATGAACAATAGCGAGTAAAAAATACACCAGATCACTATGAAAATGTTTACTAACCAGATGTGCTCTATCATGGTCAAACAAACATGCATTTTGTCACTTTCTTGAACTAAATGAGATTTAAGATGATTTTTTTTTTCCTGAAAAAATCACAAGTGAGATTTGGGCAAAAGAATGTTTTAATTCACATTCTATTCTACAAGTAGTTACATTATTTACAGTATTTAAAAAAACAACCAGACGAAGCAACAAATGAACAAAATAAACAGTGAATGTGTTAATATCATCAAACGTTTCTCAGTAATCCTTCATAAAACACACAGGACAATATATGCAACTACCTGTTTGAAAGCAGCACCCGATTGAAGTGGATTTCCTGTAGTTCTGGTTTAGTACGTCATGATGAGACCTACACTATTGATTAGACTCTATCTGTAGTGTTTTAGAGGTAGACTACGGCTCTAGTCAGTAGTGTCGGATTAGGATTGTTAAGACAGATCAAAGTAAGACTTTTCTTTCAAATGAAAGCAAACGCACATGAGGACGACACACAGCTCATCTGTCCTGCAGTAATACTGTCAAACTGAAGTCAAAGGTACTGAGGCTGCTTCTGATTGGAGGAAATGGATCATTCTTGCATTAAATCACACACTTATTTCTATGGAAGCTTATTTCTGCTACGAAAACAAAACACAATTCTGAGTCTAGTTTATATCTCACAATTCTGATTTTTTTTTTTTTTTTAAGAATTGTGGCATATGACCTCTGAGGAAAAACTTTTTTCTTTTTTTATTATTCCATCATAACCCGATGTAAACTCAGAATTCAGAGAAAAAAGAAAAAAGTTATACAAGTTATATCTCAAAAATTCTGAATTTTTATCTTGCAATTCTATTGTTTTGGAAAAAAGACGTGAACTCGCAATTTCAAGTTTATAACAATTGTGAGAAAAAAGTCAGAATTGTGAGATAAAAAGTCACAATTACCTTTTTTATAAAAAAAAATTCCGTGGCCGAAACAAATAAGTCGAGAAGTCAGAATTCCAAGATGTAAACTCAGAATAAATTTAGAATTCCATGAAAAAAATAGAATTGCGAGATGTAAACTCAAAATTCCAAGAAAAGAGTCAGTATTCCGAGATGTAAACTCAGAATTCCGAGAAAAGAGTCAGAATTCCGAGATGTAAAAGGTGCATTCGGCATGTCGGAATTACCGTAATTCCGAGATTCCGACTTGTAATTACAAGTTCTACGAGGACGTGAGCACTTTTTACAACTTGTAAACTCAAAATTCTGAGAAAAAAGTAAAAATTGCGAAATATAAATTTAGAATTGCATGAAAAAACATGAAATTGTGAGATGTAAACTCAGAATTCCGAGAAAAGTCAAAATTGCGAGAAAAAAGTCAAAATTCCGAGATGTAAAAGGTGCATTCATGGCATGTCGGAATTACCATAATTACGAGATTCCGACTTGTAACTACAAGTTCTATGAGGACGTGAGCACTGTTTGCAACTTGTAACTGAACTTGTAACTGAACTCAAAATTCTGAGAAAAAAGTAAAAATTGGGAAATATAAATTTAGAATTGCATGAAAAAACAGATTGCGAGATGAAAACTCAAAATTCCGAGAAAAGAGTCAGTATTCCGAGATGTAAACTCAGAATTCCGAGATGTAAATGGTGCATTCGGGATGTCGGAATTACCGTAATTACGATATTTCCGACTTGCAATTACAAGTTCTACGAGGACGTGAGCACTTTTACAACTTGTAAACTCATAATTTTCTTAGAGCTCAGACTTGTACCACCTGACCACTGCAGATTTATTATAGTGTTGCGATTAGAAATGCATAATTCTGTGTTCGAGGACTTGAGCAGCTCCGAATAGAATGTCACATGTTGTCATCTCGTAAAGGTAATTACGACATGGCGTGAATGCAGCAAAACTAGCAATTGTGAGAGAAAAAACAACAAATTGTGATATAAAAAATCGCAATTAATTACCGTGGCGGAAACAAGCTTCCATTTATTCCTTTTGCGATTCCAGTGTTCAAAAGCAATAAAACTGTAGTACAAAACAGCAATTACCGTGGCGGAAACAAGCTTCCACATATTCCTTTGTGTTTCCAGTGTTCAAAGCAATAAAATTGTAGTACAAAACAGCCGTATTGATCTAATCAAACTAAGCATCATGCACATTCAGATATTTTCTCTTGGGTTTGAGAAATACAGTAGATCACGTGATTTTAAGTGTATTTGTCGCTCAAGGGCCCCTTTTTTCTGCCAGTTTATCAAAAAATGAACTAACAAGCAACCAGGCAATATCAAAAACAAGGGCGTTGGGGATGTTAACAGAGCAGTTTTAGTTGGCATCAGCTGAACTCAGGTTATATAAAAGAGTTTTAATGTTGGCGTCAGATGAGGGATCCGGCTCGGCTCTGCGCCGGCACCATGACGGGGACGGCGCCCATGCGCTCGAGCGTGGCTTGGCTGACGGCGTACGAGTGTGTGTGTGTGTGCTGCTGTCCGTGCGGCACCGCCGGTGTGGTGGTGACGGGGGGGCGCAGGCTCAGCGAGCCGTTGCTGCGGGTCATGACGGGTGGCGAGGGGGCGGAGTTAGTCGTGACCACTAGAGTCTTGGGCGGAGGCAGGGTGTGGCTGCCGTTAGCGTACGCGGGGCGCGGGGGGGCGTTCGAGCCGCCGGTGAAGGTCTGCCGCGTGTCGCCGTTGTAGCGCGTGTAGGAGTTGGTGTCGTAGTTGGGTTTGGGGTTGTGCCAGTAGCGGCTGTTGTAGGTGTTGGTGGACGTGAGCGTGTCGTTCTCCGAGGACGAGGCGTCGGCCTGGAACGCTTTGACTGATGATGATCTCTTCGGTGGGAGATCGTCCTCCCTGTGTGAGGAAGTAGAATTAGATGTGAGAATCAGATCAACACTGCCTGTCCAGACAGCCTCCTGAGACCCAGACATTTTTATTTATTTATTTAGTTTTTTTTTTATGTCATCACATTGTTTACAGCATAAGTACGGAGCGCCCCTGGTCCCACTTTGTCAAAAAAATGTATTATAACTATCTCGTGGCCTCAAGATAATATCTTATTATTCGCAATTATTCATATTTAACATAAAAGCTTGTGTTTATATAATATATGCGTGTATATATTGGATACGTCAGGGGTTTGGGGATTTCTGGGAATATACAGTATAATTTACTAGGCTAATCAATTAGACATTGAGCGAGTCGTTCTTTTTAGTCACTGAATCAATGTATCGCTCACGTGTGAATCGTTCAGTAAATGTTTCTGACTGACAGTGTTGTTATTGTTAACTAAAACTATTAAAATCCTTTCCATTAATACCTGACAATGGACACCTCGAAGGGCATTAACCCGCTTATACCACGGTCACTTGCCAAATAACACATTAGTTTATATTTTAATTAGTTTTACAATTGAAATCTAAAGTTTTTACAAACAATAACTTGGTTTCCCTGGTTACGCCTGATGGTTTATTTAGCAACCGGAGATATTTATAGTCCGCTCCGCTCGGAGAACCCTTCAGTTTAGCTAACTCACGAGCCAGAAAGCTAACGTATTTATTTTCCTGTAAGTTAGGCTTGTCTAGCCATGGGCGTTACTCTTTCGTTTTTTTAACCTATAAGTATAGTATAATATAGTATAACGGCTAACTAGATGTTTGTTTTGATACAATAAATTGTAACCGGATACTTTGACTGGCTGTTGCTATACGCACATCCGGGAACATAACTGTCAATTTCGTCCCCGCCCCTTTTTGGGGGAAAACAAACTAGACTTCCAATAGACTTCAATACAAAATAACGGCAAAAACCAATGTCCGTACACAGCCGACAGGAGTAAATAACTTAAGAAATCACTTATATAAAACATGTCAAGTAATTCTATGTCCACCCTGCCTGCCATAGAGCGTAAAAGATACATACACAAACTTAATTTGGTCAATTTAAAAACATGTCCGTTTATTCTCCCAGCGTCAAATTGGTGTAACAACCCCACCCAGTGAGGTTATATATATTATAATGTATATTATAAGACCAAATATATACATTTAAAGACGTTTACTTTCAAAAACTAAGTAAAATCATTCGCTGGCTTACCATATGGTGACTCGATGAAGTACGATACGAGTAAATGCTGATTTATACTTCTGCGTCGGACTTACGCCGGAGCCTCTACGCTATAGACTACGCGTTGGTTTTCATTTATATATCTGCGTCGTTGTCCGCGTTGACGCGCAATTACACATGCAGAGGGAGAGTGTGAAACCCGGGGAGCGGTTCTAGCAATCACAGCGCTTGCGGTACGCGTAGAATTGACGTTACATTTTTGGAGAGATGCACGTCAGGGTACGCGCGCTACACAGCTACGGCGTGAGTTCGACGCAGAAGTATAAATTGGGCTTAAATGTCAGGGTAAGACCATAGACAGTAAAAGAAAGACACCTCTGGCCACTGGGTGGGGTTGTTACACCAATTTGACGCTGGGAGAATGAAGGGACATGTTTTTAAATTGACCAAATTAAGTTTGTGTATATATCTTTTACGCTCTATGGCAGACAGGGTGGACATATAATTACTTGACATGTTTTATATAAGTGATTTCTTAAGTTATTTACTCCTGTCGGCTGTGTACGGACGTTGGTTTTTGCCGTTATTTTGTATTGAAATCAATGGGAAGTCTAGTTTATTTCCCCCAAAAGTGGGCGTGAATCTGTTCAGAGACATTCTATGACGTAGCGCCGGTTGTGCGTATAACGGCTAACTAGATGTTTGTTTTGATACAATAAATTGTAACCGGATACTTTGACTGCCTGTTGCTATGGTTACTCACAGTGCATTTGTTTATTAATTTCGAATGGTAAACAGTCAGTTTCACCAGAACTCCTTTACTAGGTGTCCTCTAGCACTTTATAATGGACACCCTGCAGCCAATCAGAATCCAGTATTCACCCAGACCATTCAAACAAAAACTGAAATAAAAATAAAGCTAATTAGGAATGATAATTAAACAAATGACAAAACACTAAAATCAAAAAATATAAAGTAATTAAAATTTGTAATAAATACTATAATAATGTATAAATAATACTAAAATAAACCACTGTGCAGTATTTCACAAACACTTTTATTATTGCAAGATTTTTTTTTCATCATATACCTTCTTTAGATGTTGTTAGATGTTTTGAGAGTGTTTAATTAGCTTTATGCACACAGACAAGCTTTGTGAAGAGTCACCTGATCTCGTTGGGGATTTCCTCCTCCTCGTATTTGTTCTTGTTCCTCCAGTAGAAGAGCGTGACCAGCACCAGTAGAGCGCAGATGAGCAGCGCCAGAACCCCAGTGACGACGGTTCCTGCGATCAGACCCACGCTCTGAGGCTGCGCTGTGACACGCCAGAGACCAGACCAGTCAGATCAACAGCATACGAGCTGCAGAACGAGTGTGTGTGTGTGTGTGTGTGAGAGACTTACGGGCCACGACCTGCAGGTTGAGGACGCAGGTGCTCCTCCCGATGGCGTTCGACGCCGAACACTGATACAGTCCAGATGTGCTGGTGCTGATGTTTCTCAGCGTCACCGTACCCTGCATCTGGTCTGAGGAGCACAAATCAACTTCAGACTGATCACACACTATTATAGAAATGAGTTATTAGGTCTGCTGGAGAACAACTTGCCTACAAACTTGGAAATTTTAGTCTAAAATTGGGGGGTTTCTAGGGCTGTTAAACACAAATGTTTTTCAAACGCTCCCATTAAGGCGAGACACTACAGGCAAAACCAGTGTTTTTTCATGTATCTGTCGATTTTGAGATTTTGGGCTTTTCAGACTAGTGGAAAGAAAACATCCAAAATGCACTTTTAACTGTATCGTTTAGAGCAGGGGTTTTCAAACTTTTTGTGTGTGTGGACCACTATTTGTAATCAAGAATTTTTACGGACCACCTCATAATACACATAATAAAATATGTCTACACAGTCCTACCTGAATTAATCCACACCTCTAAATAGGCTAACTAGCACTAAAACTATAACAAGCTTGTTAAAGACAGTTTACTGCACACAACGGCTGCCACCACATATTTGATTTATTTATTTACTCAAGCGCCCGAGGGCATAATCAGGTTCATTTGAACAACAGGCTTATTTCCATAGCAATGGAGTATAAAATCTATACAGTAATAAGAACACTTGGATATAGTCAGCATTTCAAAACCTTTGGCGATTTTAGGGGATTATCAACGCAAGTCCTCAAAAAGTAGGCTTGAGTTTGTCCACTTAACAGCACATCCGCAAAACATTTCAGAAACACGAGATCAAGAAACTAACATTAACTGGAAATTAAAATAATAACCGGCCTTATTCATTCCATTTATAAACATTTCGCTTCATATAAACTGCCTATAAAGGCTATTGATGAGAACATATTTGCCTCTGCCCTATACACATTTAATGAAAACACAGTAGGCCTAACGTTACTCCAGCAGGTTAAAAATAAAAGAAAGTTGGCAAAAGGAAAAGCCATTGGAGTCTATTTGCCAGCCCGATATGAACGTAATATCCTCCTTTGTCACCCTCCACATCTTTCCCTTCCTCTTTGTATCGTCTGTCTAATATAGGCCTATATTAAAAACAAACAACTAAATAAATGCTCACCTAACCTGTTGCTATCCACCGATCCATGTTGTGGTTCTGACGGTGACACTGAGCTTGAACGTCACGGCCGAGCGCCACTAGCCTATTTTAGTAATCACACAATAACTTGACAATTTAATTGACATTTTATATAAATATAGGCCTACATATTCTTTTTACTTTTTTATGGGAATTTCCTGGTAAAATGAAGGTAAAAAAATATTTTATATTTTATTTGGCCTTTTCACGGACCACAGTTTGGGAATCGCTGGTTTAGAGCACTTTATCTATTTGCG